AGAAACATACCAAGGGAACATGAATCAAATATGTATCTTTATTCATTTACAATAAACTCATAAAGTACATCATTCTGATTGAAGTTAAGGGCATACAAAACTGTCTAACAATTTATGTCCAAAAGAAAATCAAGATGATAGCTAAGAGAAATCATCTCCATGAGGGTCTGGATAGCACTCGGATGGAGTTTCCCCAAAGAAATACCATAAAGAAAGCACCTCAACAATGAATGGGTGCAAAGGAAATCGGAGGTTGCAGGTTGGTGATCAATGCCTCCTCGAAGACACAGACCTCGTCTTGGCCATAGCTCCATGGGAATTGGCCCAAGCCAGGATAGATACAATTGAACACAATGGGAATGTGAAATACTGAAACTAAACTAGCAATCTCTTCCCTACTTGGCTTGCTAGGACCGAACTTGGAACTGACCTCCTACTCTTGCTAAGACATTGAGGCCTCGGTGTGGGAACCCTATCGATCTCACGCAGAGGTCCCTTCCTCAGCCCTAGCAAAATAAGACAACCCCCCTTCGGACTCACTTGAGGACATGACTAAAGAATGGAAAAGAACTCACCAGTTTTTAGAAAATAGAAATCGACTTTGGGTAAATCTCACTCACCGATCTGATAGTGATCCCCAGCAGAATTCTCCTCTAACCAATCACCCCACTCCCTTGTCGGAAATCTTAGAACAATAAGAATGGGACCCCAGCGGGGACCCCCCTATTTATAGCCTTGGGTGCAGAAAATCGACGGATGAGGCATCTTGGCATCAAATTGACGGTTGAGAAAGTCATATTGCTCACGAGAGAAATTGAATTTTAAATTTTGAGCACTCAACTTGCATGCCAACCTAGAATTTGAAATTTGAATCTTGTTGCACGCTTGCCCGCCCTTGAGCCGAGTTGGGCGAACATGTCAGGCGATTTGGAAACCAACCGAACAAGTCACTGTAGGCCGAAGAATGACTGCAAACTACTCCATTCGCCAGACCGGCAGTGACTCGGGAGTGGGGCAATTGATGAGGGGCGATTTGGCCCTCTAATGATATGAGGACACGTGGCACCGCAACATAATTAGGCGACGTCTTAGCACCACTCAAGTATGCCACGAAAGCACCCTAGACACCTTGAACCCGCCCGACGACCTCATCACCATCTCGGCAAATGAACTAAGAACCAGCTCGGCAAGTTGACAGGTTGGCATGAGAGGCGACCCACTTCTGTTGACCTAACCTGAGTTTGGTTAGCAACCTGCCTAATGTGTTGGGCGATCTTCTCCTTAAACGGGTTATTCTCTCCGACTTCATCGGGATCACAATGCAACGTTGGAAGAGCAATTTATCACCCCACCCGCTTCAGGCACGACTAGATAAATATTACCTGCTTACGTAGAGTCCACCTACGGGCGTGAAACCACCTCCAAACCAGGTGTGCCAGAAATCTCAAACGCGTTTCGTGAGCCACACGATAGCTTGTCTATATAAAGGTATCCCTTTCCTTAGAAAAGGTATGTGCAATTTAACTCTCAAGTACTCTAGCTCTCTTGCATTCTAGCAATCACGTCTCTAGTTCGCTAACTTAAGCATCGGATGCCCACTCGGATAAAGCAACCCGGATACTCTAATCTCTTTCTTGCACCTCAACCAGACAGCCTAATCAGCCCGACATCCGAGTTGTCCACCAACAGGGAGCACCAGATTGCACATCATCAAATTGCAATGAAGGGAATCTAGGTATCCTCGATGCACATAGATGGTTGTTTGCAATGAAAGCTTCCCTTGAACCTGTAAACGCGTTGCCAATCGAATCAAATACTTCTCCAAGGCCACCCGTCTCTATTCCACAAATTCCTGTTTATGCTTGATCTTCTGTATTAAGTGCAACATTTATGGCCAATAGAAGAGCAAATGGGTTGTCGGAAGTGGAGAGGTTGTTTTGCTTTTCAAAGTTTTCTGTTCGAGAAGATAGTAAGATGTTGTTCAAATGTTTAATGATGAATAAAATTATTTTCTATATTTCCGTTAATTTAAGGAAGTAAAGAATTTAGTCAATTGTAAAAAACGTGAGAGTATATATACATGGGAGTTGAGTTAGTCAATTTTGTTTTATTTTTTTTGGGAGAAGTATAAATCAGCCTAACTCAGAATTTACTCCCAAAGTATAGGAGGAATGCATCATGATGGTGAATTGATGTTAAATTCACGGGTAGGATGTGGTTTATAGGGGCACAGGGGTAATTGCAGGGGGGGCTGGAATTCAAAATTCTGCATAGTGTGTCTCCGTACTTTTCCCTATTTTTTTTTTTTTCACTGATTTGCATCGATCAGCCACAAATATTTCAAGAAAAGACGGCAATGAAACTAAACACAACCTATATCTTGCAATCCTGTATTTAATCAGCCTAGTGAAATTGAATACGTCAGCTATGGAAATTAATTCATCAACATTATTTGATCTGATTTTTTTATTTTCATCGCTGGCGTACCTGTACTTAATTAATTAATTAGGACCGTAGCATACATGAATTCTTTCTTGTCGAAATAACGGACTCTCAAGAAAATATGAACAAACAAACAATACATAACATGGATTCACATCAAACGGTCGTTGGTTCAGAACACTGGCGTCTTCCCATTTGATCGGGGTCGCACGCAACTCTGGTCGCTATAAAGCTTTTCTGTTTCTTATCGTTTCGGTCACCTGGCTGCGGCAGTGAAGTTAGAAATTAAAAAGGCGGCTCCCTCTCTCCCTCTCTCCCTCTCTCTCTAGATCGCTCTCTTCTTCTCTTCTGGTAAACATAAAACCCTCACATCCCTTCCCGTCCCACATTCTCAATTGATCGGTAACGAGTGAAACCGAAACTCAACATGGAGGTGGTGATGCAAGCACCGCCCAATATAGATTTCAACTTCGATAGCGCCTGCTCTTCTCCCTACATTAGCGCTCCTTCCAGCCCCAAACGTTTCGGTGAGTTCTACTTCAGCGCTCCAACTAGTCCTACCAGGGTTGCTGCCATCTACCGTGAAATCAACGACGGCCTTTCCGTGATTAGGACCAACGGCACATGCAGCAAAGATGGGCCTTCTTCTTCTACTGTCGTCCCATTTAACTGGGATGAGAAGCCGGCAGAACCCAAATCCAACGACAGCAACGAAGACGACTTCGCCTTTGATTTCAGCGGTCAGTTAGAGAGAACCTCTCTCACCGCCGATGAACTTTTCGATGGAGGCGTCATCCGACCCCTAAAACCTCCGTCGCGGTTGCAGGTTCCCGACGGAGTTGACGAGTTCCCCACTCGGAAGAGCGCTGCTTCATCGCCGAGGACGTCCAAGTCACCCATCTCACAGGGGAAAAAGATGTTCCGTGAAGCGTTCTCCCCGCGGCACAAGAAGGATTTCGATTCATTTGCAGCTGCAAGCCAACAAGAGCAAAAAGAACCAGAACACGATCGAGGGAGAGAAAGGGTCCCTGCTTCAAAATCTGGCCGCAGAGAGACCAGATCGCTCTCCCCTTTCAGGGTTTCTGAGTTTAATTGGGAGGAAGAACAACAGCAAAGCACAAAAGCCGCTTCCTCGAATTCGAAATCCTCCTCTTCTTACTCTTTGTCGTGGTTTTGCAAGGGCAGCAAGAAATGGAGATTGAAAGATTTTCTGTTGTTCCGAAGCGCGTCAGAAGGTCGAGTGACGGACAAGGATCCTCTCGGGAAATTCGCGGTGCCGTCGACGTCGAAGAAGCAGGAGTACGTGAAGAACTCGAGCATCCGGTCGACCGATAGCTCCGGGTCGGTATCCGGTTCTAGGAGAAGAGGGCCGGTTTCAGCTCACGAGTTGCATTATACAGTGAATCGGGCGGTCTCAGAGGAGATGAAAAAGAAGACCTTCTTGCCTTACAGGCAAGGGCTTCTAGGTTTCTTGCGGTTCAATTCGACGGTCCACGGTCTATCCAGGAGCTTTGGCTCCCTTACGCGATAATGATCCATAGATCTTTAGCTCTCTTTATTCTTGCTTTGAACCGTAGAAGCAAACCAGATAGACCGTAGCCGGTGGTCTTTCTATTTTGCGATTAATATATTATATAAGTAATATACTATTTATTAATTTCTTTATTCCTTGTAATTTTTGAATTGTATTAGAATAAAATGAAAGAAGTCGATAAAGCCAGCTTCGCTGGGGTACCCGTCTTCAAACCCTGAGATTGGAATCCATGGGTTGGTGGGTCCCGGCATTTATATATACTAATTTCATCTTCATGGTTTCCATTGTCCCAAAAAGAGGAAAAATAAATAAAAGAAACGATCGGTTCAAATAAAAGCTATTTGCATTTTAATTGAATAATTCAGGCTTAAATTCAATTATGCTCGATTTGAGTTCAATGTTAATCGAGTTTAAATTCTAGGGTAAGTTTTGATGTAGTGCAATCCGGCTGTTCTTAGTTGGAGGTGATCTGGGTTCCAGTAGACGACAGACTCAGTTGATATGCAAAAAGCGAATTAGAGAACCCAAGGGTGCTTACCCGGCGAGGTCGCTCCGATGCTTAAGTCAATACTTGATTGCGACCTGATAAGAGCTTAGAATGTAAGAGAGCTAATGAGGAGAGATTACGCGTACCTTTCACACCCAGGGGGTGGAGCCTTTATATAGTGGAGTCCTCGCGAGTTTTGCGGAGTGGTTCCGGGATCCTCATTACGATGACATCCGTTTCCGTGTTAATTGGGGATAACGCTGCCAACTGATAAGATTCATCACTTCCACCCGAATCAGACGGAGGAGATAATGCTAGCTATTACGAGGCGTGATCCTGTAAGGCGTAGAATCTGGTGACGAGATCTTCGGGGTTGCCAAGCGGTGGTTGACAATATTACCCGAGCTAGTGCCCTCTGAATCCGACTTGGTACGAATGTCGAGGTGCCTTGGGACCGAGGTGGTCCTAATGCGATTGTGCACCGAAGTGAACTCATCCTGAGGTGGGCTTGTCCCGAGGTGGACTTGCCCCGAGGTAGTTCGGTTATCCGAGCTCGATCCGTTGCAGACTTGGTTCATCATAGTGAGTTGTTACCCTACTGGTTAGGTCGTGTCCACGTGTCCCCTATTACTAGGTCGGGCCAAATCACCCTACATCAATTGCCCCCCCCCACCCCGAGCCAGGGGTCCTGACCCGGTGTGGGGAGTTCATGATGAGCCAAGTGGATTTGGTCCGAAGTCTGAGCAGCTGGCCAGATGAATCACATGTCGGATTTGTTCGGCCACCCGGCTCAACTAGGAAAACCCAGGTCATATATGGCCTACGTGCGGACATCACACGATCTATAAACTTCGAGGACGTCAAAAAACGCGCTAAACCGATTTTATCCTCGGGGGTCACGCAACCGGTTTTCTTAGGAGCCGTTGGATCGCTTCGATCTCGACCGCTAGTTTTCGGACATAGCGGCTATAAATAGGGAATCCGTGACTCATTTTTCTCGCCACAAATTCTATGATTGAGCTCTCCCGAGGTCGCATCGGAGTCTTTCAGCTTGCTTTCCCTTTGTGTTTCGAGGTCATCCTTCTTTTTGGTGAGTTTGTGTTTTCCTTCGTTTGTTTTTCCTTTGCCTTTTAATCATGTCTAGTTCTAGCGTAGATAGGCTTTTAGGTAGTTCTAGTGAGGTCGAGGATGCCGTGGTACAATCAGCGGCCCCTGCTGGGGAGGTCAGCTCGAGGCTGGGTGACTCCCCTCTTCAATCCTTAGAGGGAACTTCTGTGCCCGAAGTTGAGCCATCCCGGCTCGGGGAGACTGAGATTCAGGAAGAGGGCCCGTCCTCTAGAATGGAGGCCCCGTCTTCTTCCTGAGTTCGGGATCCAGATGACTTCGGTCCTACTTTGACTTCGGATAGGTTAATGTACCTAGTAGCTCACTATCGTCTTCCCGATAGCTTGGTCTTTAGTCTTCCATTAGGTCAATATCCTTGGGCTCATGATCACCATGAGCTCGCGGTCTTTGAGGAGCAGCTTGCGGCCGGGCTGCGCTTCTCGCTTCACCCTTTCATCATAGAGGTAGTTAAGTTTTTTAATATTACCATCGACCAACTACATCTGAACTCTATTCGGAAAATAGTTGGTACTATCTCCTTGCTCCACACATAATCGGCCTTTGTCCTTAGATACCTTCAGCTCAATCTGTGCGATCAAGCGAAATTCTGCTTGTCTGCGAGGGGACGTCAGACAAAGCTATTATTTTTCACCTCGTCCTGGGTTCAAAATCCTATTCGGCTGCCCGAACAAGGTTCCAGCCTGGAAGAGGAGGTATTTTATTGTCCGAAATCCCGAAGGGTGGTCTTTTCCAACTCACTGGAGGGAAGGTACCAAGGATCTCGAGGTGAGCTTGGATGTAGAAACTAGGGCAGTCATCAACTCGTGGAGGGACCTCGGCCTCGAGATGAAAGATTTCTTGGTCGAGGAGAAGCTTGTGCGAGCTAGTTTGAGCCCTCCTGGTAGGTTTCCGCCTTGGTTTTTTACTTTAAGGTTCTTTTTAGTTCGCGACTAACCTTTTGCTCTTGCAGTTACCATGCTGGACGTCAATGCCAAGGACCTTCTCAAAAGCGTCCAGAGAGGGAAAAAGAGGAAGGCTTTGAAGAAGCCTCACTGGGAGGCCAGTCCTTCAGCCCTTGCCTCATCCGAAGTCCTTGTCGTGGAGCCGATCTCTACCGGGCTCCCCGAGGAGGAGGTTCATCCTCGACCCCCCATGGTGGACCTGGATGATGACCAGGAGGAGGATGCTCAGCCTCATGAACCGGGGAGCACTTCTGTACCCTAGTAGGATAGCGTCCAACCTCACAGGCCGGAGAGCACTTCTGCACCAAGGTCCAAGCCCTCCAAGCAGAGCATAAAGACTCTTCAACTCGGAATGCGCAAGAGCAAGGATGTCGTCTTTCCAGACGAGGTCGCGGAGTGGGCTGACATGCCTATAGCCATGCTCGGAAGCCGAGCTTCCGGTTATTGCATGGTGGTAAGTATTTTACTTTACATTTTATTTCTTTGTCAATTTCAAATGTACTTGCCTCGGTTGTATTTGCTAGGTGAACTCTACCATCCATTCATTGATGTGCTAGTCTGATATCCATCTAAAGCGGGCTCAGGATGCCAAGGAAAAGGCACGGCAGCTTCATCGCGAACTGAACCTAGCTCGGGGTGAGATACTTCGGGCCAAGAATGAAGCTCGAAGTCAACAAGAGCTGATCTTGGCCATGACTGAGGAGAAGGAGAAGCAACAGGAACAAATCTCAACATTGACCGAGGAGAAGGCGAAGCTTCAACGAGAGAACGAGAGTCTCGAACGACGATCCAGGAGCGGACTAAGATCTTCGAGACCGCTATCCAAGAGGCGTGGGCTGAAGAAAGAAGCCACACCATCGAATGCTTCAAGGAATCCTCGGAGTTCCAAGATCTCCAGGTTGAATATGGATCGAGCTTCTACCACTCCAGCTTCAAGCTGTGCAGGTACTTGGTGCGGCAGAAGTTCCCCGATCTTGATCTCGGAGCCATCACTATGTCGGGCCTTACTTCTGAGGTGGCATAGGCGGCAAACGAGGAGCCTAGCTCGTCAGAGGAGGAAAGCGATGGTGAGATCGAAGAGGCGGGCCCCTCGGGCCAAGAGGACGCGAAAGAGCACACGAAGACCGACCCGGTTGACAGTCCTCACAAGTGAATCTGGCTTTTTCTTCTTTCTGTGTTTTAGATGTACGCCCCAAGGCCACCGAGCTCGGGTTATACTGAAATCTCTGTACTCACACTTTTTCTATCAATGAAATATAAACATTTCTGAGCAATCCTTGTGCGATAATATTCTAAGTGTAAATGGCTCCCAATCTGGGCAACAAGTGTATAGGTTACCCGACTTGTCGAGCTACCGAGCTGGACAATTAGTAGGGGCAACTTTACATAGTGTACGCTGAGGTGAGCGACATTGTAGTGTATATACCCGACCAATCCGTGCACGGGCTACTCATTTAAATGTCGGTTGTCCCTAACGGACCCAACCTGTTGATATATGCCGAAGTGGTTTAGACATCGTAGGGCTCACACCCGAGCTGTCTGCGCTTTAGGTATTAGAAGTACTTTGCCTATGTCGAAGAGGCAACTAGTACTTATATGCCAATGCCGAGGAGGCGACTGGGACTAGTTTGCCAAAGCCGAAGAGGCGATTGGGACTTATATGATGCCGAGGTCTTTTATCAGCTCGTCACTTTTAGTCCTTAGATTTTTGGGAGTGACTCGCAGTCCGCTCTCCAGTTCAACGATCACAGGTAGTATCGCCTTAAATTGCTGACGTTCCACGCTCGAGGTACTTGTCTTCCTTCTAAGGTTTCGAGCTCGTATGTACCTTTCTCGAGTATCCACTTTACTCGGTAGGGACCATCCCAATTTGGTTCGATCTTACCGACATCGGGCTCAGACACCATAACTTTCCGAAGGACCAGGTCTCCGATACAGAAGTGCCGCTTCTTGACCCGGGCGTTATAGTACCAAGCCACTCTTTGTTGGTAGGCTACGGTCCGGATATACGCGAGGTCCCGTACTTCTTCCACCAGGTTGAGGTTGGTACAGAGCTCATCATCATTGGTTTCTTCGTCATATGCCTTCAGGCGTAAAGTAGGCACCTTGATCTCGGCTGGGATTACCGCTTCTGTGCCATAGGTGAGGTTGAAGGGGGTTTCACCCGTGGCGGTCTTCACGGTAGTTCGGTAGGCCCATAATACACTGGGCAGCTCGTCTACCCATAGTCCCTTAGCTCAGGCTAAGCGGGCTTTTAGTCCACGGAGTATAGCTCTGTTCGTGACTTCCACCTGCCCGTTTGCTTGGGGGTGTGCCACCAAAGTGAAATTCTGCTGTATCCCCATCTCGGCACACCAGTTCTAAAACTTGATATCTGATGAGAGTAGAATTTATCATATTTTTATCCCCAATTATTATGTCTTTTATACCAAATTAGCATCTAATTGGACTCATATTTCTGTTCAGGGCATGAAAGAAGGCATCAGGAGCAAAGAAAG